GTTTTCCATTCAACGGCCCACGGACATTCTGTTTCGGGCCATCGAGTGCAATTCCCACACGGTAACATCCTTCATCCCACTTTCTCCCTGGGTTTCCCATTTCCATTCCTCCTCCTTCCCCAATCCTTGCCTGCCTTTGTTTGGTCTTGGGTAAATGCTGCCTTTGGATATCAAATGGTTGATGAGTCTAAAGCGTGAGCATTAGTGTCCCCTAATAGACCTGTCTGTTCTTTGGTTAGGAATCCTGGTGGCGCTGGGGGTTAGGCAGTGGACTGCTAACCTCAAGGCTGGCAGTTCAAAACCACTAGCTGTGCTGAGGGTCAAAGATGAGGTTTTCTACCCCCATAAAGAATAGAAGACTCAAAGGGGCAGTTCTACCCTGTCCTATAACCTTGCTATGAGCGGGCACCGACTTACATTGAAGTGAGATGGTTGGCTAGGAGCCCTGGTGATGCTGTAGTTAGGTGGTGGGTTGCTAACCGCAAGGTCAGCAGTTCAAAACCACCAGCGGCTCTGCTGGAGAAAGGCAAGGCTTCTTACTCCTGTAAAGAGCTACAATCTTGGAAACCCATGGGGGCCGTTTTACCCTGTCTTACAGGGTCACGGTAAGTCAGAATCGACTGTAGAGCAGCAAGGTGGGTTTTTTGTTGCTTTTTATTTTAATCGTTTGGGAATTGAGTTCAGCTCCAGGCCTAAGGTGTGACTAAGAGCCAGAATCTCAGAGGGTCCCTTGTGGGAAATGATTATTGAGGAAATAAACTCATATGGTGGCACTGGGTCACTAACACAGTCACTCATTCTTTAGGGCCACCACCGGAAAGTCCCATACGACTGCCGCCACCCCCCCCCCACATGCACACACACACTCTTCACATCATCACCCACAGAGCCCACGGCCCACCCCTCCACACCTGTCCAGCTAAGGCACACGCTCTCCCAAGTCCTCAGAGGGACACTGTCACACACACCCCCTCCTACACGCAGTCCCGCCACACAGACGCACCCCTCTCTGTCAAAGCCCACCAGGGCTCTCAGCAGCTACAGAGAGTCACACACCATGATCCTCCCCCTCCATCACATACAGTAGGTCCCAGGTGACATGCAGCCACACCATCTCACCGCCTTCATTATCCCCTAGCTGTACCGACCCCGGTCTCACTCAGGGTCCTGCTCATCAGTGAGCCACACCCATTTCCCCCGCATTTTAGAGGCTGCATCTCCTGTCTGTGTGAGAGGGGACAGCTTGGAACCAGGAGTCCCAGTTCTCTGCGCCCTTGTGTCTCTCTGAACATAAACTACCAATTGATGCCCATTAATCATACTTTGAACACCCGTGAGCAGGAGTTCCCCTGGGATTGCGCGCG